TTTAGAAAGATGGTAACGATAACCCTATATGCAAAACAGAAAAAGAGACTCAGATGTATAGAACAGACTTGTGGACTCTGGGAGAAGGCGAGGGTGGGATGTTTCAAGAGAACAGCATTGAAACATGTATATTATCTAGGGTGAAACAGATCACCAGCCCAGGTTGGGTACATGAGACAAGTGCTCGGGCCTGGTGCACTGGGAAGACCCAGAGGGATCGGGTGGAGAGGGAGGTGGGAGGGGGGACTGGGATGGGGAATACATGTAAATCCATGGCTAATTCATTTCAATGTATAACAAAAACTACTGTAATGATGTAAAGTAATTAGCCTCCAACTAATAAAAAAAAAAAAAAGAAAATACTTTTTTTTTTTAACCATACCAGAAAAATATATTAACTTCTCTGATCATTGTACCAATTTTGCAACAGGAAAAGGGAGAGTTGAACTGTATTAGCTTGGGAGTAAAGTTTAAACGAAGGTAACATTGGCACCAGAAAAATTGAGCATCTGACTTTCAAGCTGCAGTAGCCTTTGAGTGACTGGCTGAACAGAGGTCACAGTTAGGGAGGGAGACAGCAGAACTGGGATCTGCTGATGGATTTTTATTGCAGGCACAGCTATTTATAGGGCAGTGTTTCAAATTACAATGTATTTCCTTTAACTTATTAAAAACATCTGTAAAGCATTAGGTTAAGCATTTTTTTGTATTATATGTTTGCCTGCTGTCAAGGTGTATTTCCTTTAATCTCTGGGAATCTTGTAGAACAAACTGCTATAGATGCCTAAATACCAAAACCAGGCAATGAATGCATTGAGCTTAGTCTCATTTACAGACCTGTGCATCCGCCTTCTTGGAAGTTGAAATAGCCGTGGGCACAGCGATCACATTTTTTTCCTGTTACTCCAGGCTGGCACCAACATTGACCACTCTCTTCACAGTCAAATGATTTGGACCCAAAGGAATTGCAGTTGCAGGGGACGCACCCTCTTGCCGATTGGAGGCCAAAGGTCTCAGGCTGGCATAGAAGTGGAATGAGAAAAATTCAATTTAAATCAATTAATTCACAATGACACTAGATGCACTGTAAGATCAGGTGGGAAAAGAGGAGACTATTGGCTATAAAGGTTCTCCAGTGATGTTATGAGAATTGGACTGTCATTTAACCTAGTGGACTTTTTCTGTGATGTCCAAGAGAAAAGTGCAATTACTGTGAAATTTCATTGAGATTCTTGGTGGAACTAGGGTGCTCTCATTCAGCCTGTGATATTTTCACCAGCCTTTCCCTATGTGTCTCAAGATTCTAATGGCAATGTGGAAATAAGTGAGGATGGCAATTCTATTTAAAGAAAATTTTGGTTTCATTTCTAATAATCGGAATTGATTATTTTCAGATATTCTTAAGTCCTTTTACTTGGTAAAAATGTTTTCAATATTATTGGACAGCAGCCTAAAGTTAAAATAAATCTTTTTTCTCTTATATTGGGTCTAATTTTTGTCATATATCCATGAATACTTCTAATCATCATTACATTATAAATGTAACTCTTAGGTTATGCCTATACTGACAAAATAATTGGTGTAACTAACGTCTAGTTTCTTGGGTTTCATCCTAACAATCAAAGTTGATTTGTGAGAACACATATCAAAGCACCAAATTAGGTAGATGAAAGGAAACTTTCATCTCTGATGAGTTATTCATATGCATATCTCTTATCTATTTGTAACAAATGACCTTCCATGGTCCAGCATTACTAGCTTTGACTGACTTTCTGGAAATGCATGTTATCAGACCTAGAATGACTACATTAGAAAATGCTGATGGATTAAAAATCATTCCTACCAGAAAAGTGAAAAAGCACATATCCTACTTAAAGTATGTCAGGGCTGTCTTTTAAGCAGAAGTTTGTCACATTATTATGATATTTGAATCTGGAAAATTAGTCTCAGTAATTACTTCTTTGTAAAACTAATTCTTATTTTGGAAAATTAGACTTAATAATTACTTTTTGGTAAAAATAAATCTAGCTATTTAATGTGAGCCACCCAAAGAGACATGATTAAGCCTCATTATGTATTTTTGCCATTATTGTTAACAATATTAAAAATAAGTCCTATAAAACAAAATTATACTGAAAGTTAGTCTCTTAAAATGACTGTTGCTAAGAATAGTTTTCTTTTTAAATCTAAAATGGGTTGATCATGGTTGATAATCATTTTAATCTTTACATTTGTTGTCTTTATTTTTAGTTCTTTGTTTTAAAAAAATAAGTAAAATAAATAGCTCTTTATTTTATTTTAGTTCTTGACTTTATTCCTAGTTCTAATTCAGATTCACTGTATAATTAAAGAAATTGTGTGACACTTGTAACAAATGACCTAATACTTGATTTGAAATTAATTATAAGAAAAGAAAACATATAATATTTTTATTCATAAAAAGCAATTCAGTGTACAATTCTAAATACCAGGCTTAGAGAAATAGTCAGAAATTGAGAAAATGCATGCATGCTTATTACAGTATTATTTATTATAATAATGAGCAACTATAGAGGTACTTAAATGTTCAATGTTAGACAAAAAGCTGAATAAATTAAAATATGAGGCATTCATGTTATGAAATATATAAAATCATTAAAATCCTGTTTTGAAGCAGTTTTAATGATATGAATATGGGTAGAATATAGCATTAAGTACAATTTCAAAAAGCAGAATACAAAATTACATATACACTATGATTTTAATTAGATACCCACAAAGGCACACATACCACTCAGACACAAACAAATAGAAACTTATATACATAGAAAAAAAGACTAGAGCATTACATAGTAAAACTTTTTTAAAAAAGTAATATTTTACATTTGTTTTTATTTCCTAAATTTTCTTGACTTAGAATGTGCATTGTAGAGATAGTACTTTACCTTCATCTTTACCTCCTAAGTTTGCTTTACTTAGCATATCTATCTATATCTATACAAATATCTTTAATGGATAGACCAATAAAATAGTAAACTTTCAAATTATTACTTATTTTAAAAATTCCAAAGTTGATTATATAAAGAAATATATGAGAAGTAATGTCTTTATCATACTTTTCTGATATTTACCTAGTGTAGTTTTAAAACCTTAAATTCAAAGTGGCTCAGTCATGTCAGACTCTTTGTGACCCCATGGACTATACAGCCCAAGGAATTCTCCAGGCCAGCATACTGGAGTTGGGGAGCCTATCCCTTCTCCAGCAGATCTTCCCAACCCAGGAATCGAACTGGGTTCTCCTGCATTGCAGGCGGATTCTTTACCAGCTGAGTTACAGGTATCCCAAAACAAATATTACCAAATTTCAGTAATAAAATTTTAATAAATTGTTCAAAAATCTATTTCACAGTCCAGGGAAAACACTGTAGTAAACAAATTTTAAAGAACATTCTTAGTCAGTAATTGAGATTAATGAGGTAAAACATACAGAGAAGCGAGTGCCTGCCTAGTCTCAGTGGTAAGTTTGATGAGCTCACATAATTTATTCTCATCTGGGATAATAATAAAAACTAGCACGTACATATTGTTCTTGCCATGTGCCAAGCAACATTTCTAAAGCCCTTTACAAACATGAACTCATTTAAATTCTCAAGACAATCCTGAAAGATAGCTATTATCATCAACTTTTTAGAGTGGTGAAACTGAGGCACAGAAGGGTCAAGTAATTTGGTCAGCAGCTAGCCAGTTGTGGAGTCAGGATTCCAAATCAGCCAGGGTGGCTTCAGAATCTGTGCTCTCAGCTGTCACATATACTGTCTCAGAGAAAGGGTGGTCTCAGGACAAAACACCACTCCATACATCAGTGCTGTAGGATATGTAGAAAGAGGGCACGGATAAGGGCTCATAATTCTGCTAAATTTATGTTCTGGAGACAGTTTTGCATGCCCATGCTCAGTCACGTCTGACTCTTTGCAGCCCCATGGCCTGCAGCCCACTAGGCTCCTCTGTCCATGGAACTTTTCAGGCAAAAATATTGGAGTCAGTTGCGAGCTCCTCCTCCAGGGAATCTTCCTGACTCAGGGGCTGAACCCACATCTCCTGAGTCTCCTGCATTGGCAGGAGGATTCTTTACCACTTGAGCCACATGGGAAAGCCCATTTTGGAGACATAGTGATCAGTTATTGTCCCTTTCTTTTATTCTAAATGTATGCATTTATTTCTGAAAAAGCATAATCTCTTTTAAAGATTTCTCCACTTAATAACAATAGTAATAATAACAGTAACACTAACTATCATTACTAAAAACTCTTCAGATGTGTGTTTTATACACACTCCTCTCACAACAACCTGGAGACAGCCATAGACGTGCCTGGGCAGAGTTTCCTGCGAGAGAGCCTGCAATGGGAGTGTCACTAATTAACAAGCCTCAGCTTCCATTTTCTTGAATCTAGTGAAGGAGCTCATACCAAGTCATGCTTCTCCTAGTCAATTACTGGTACACTGAAGTACTAGAATCTTCCCGTCCCATCCAAGATTCCTCCAATGGGTAAATTTTGCCTGGGCACATCCAACTGGCCTGACCAAGAATTTGAGATTTGGGCAGAATGCATTCAGTGAATCTTTTCTATCCATATTTTTTTTCCCTCTCTCCTGACACATGGGCAGACCCACATTTCAGCAGAAGTCTCCCTGCACACGATGCTCCATCCCCATCACCCTTCACTGGAGCCTCCTCCAGTAAATCTCTTGGCATTTGCTCCTTGAAGGATCTGAGCCAACACACAAACTCTATGATGTAGGGCCTACTGCAGATGAAGAAGCTGAATTACAAAAAGATCTAAGAAACAGTTTTACAGTGGACCAGAAGTGTTGGGGTTGGGATTTGACCTCAGGCAGTCTGATATCAAAACTAGTTATTTTAAAATGTCAATAAAGAGGCAAGAAATCAAACTATAAATTTGTTCTTCTGCCTTCCTCCCTCATCTTCCCCCCTTTCCCATCCCCCTTCCTCTTTCTTTTACCTCTTCTTTTCCTACTCCTTCTCCATCTCCTCCTATTCCCTACCCTCAGTTCTCACATAAGCTCTGATTCTCCACTGATAAGTCCTGTCTCCTGGTACTCAGCATCTTGGCCTCGGTCCTATTCCTCTCTTCCTGTTCTTCTCTTCCTCTCTCTCCCTTCCCAAATTCCTTCCTTCCACCATTTGTTTTGTCTTGCCCCATGAGAAGGGGGATCAAACTTTTATAGTAGAAGATACGCTACCTTCTTTTGTGCATGTTGTAGATTTCCAGTGTGTGAAAATGTGTGTCTTGTGTTTGCTGTATACATGGACAGAATTCTAATGTGGTAATGTAACAGTCACTAATGATGATGAAAGGTCAGTCAAAGGGTAGATCAGTGGGCTGGACTTTCTTAGGCAAGTCACTTTCTTTGTTTTCTACATATCAATGATCACTTGAAACTTTTATGAACCTATGAACTTCAACGGGATTTAAAAAACGTTATCAGTAGCTATTTTTTAAAGGCAAGCCTTCAATCAGGAATCACCAAGTTTTCGCATCTGCAATCCACACACTTAGCAACCACTATTTGGTAAAACGGCACCAGGACAGGTCAGCAGCAGCACATGGAACACAGCATGCTGAGGCAAGAGCCATGCAGCGCCTCTAAATTACCGGAGCCGCAGGCCGATAGGCTCCCCGAGGGCATCCGCTGGAGCTGCTGGCACCCCACCTCTGGGGAGACCCCAGCACCCACTGCGCTCTCTGTGGCTGCTCCTCCTGTCGCTGCACCTGCCTGTTGAGGTTGCATCGTTTCCCTACGAAGCCTGATTTACAGACACATCTTCCTGTGATATCACACCGCGGGGTCACAGAGCCCATGGGATTGCATCCACAGGACACACAGAATCGCTTCTTTGGGTCCCACCACATAGTGGGCTTTAAAAGCCAACGGAAAAATAAAAACACAATACAGTAATTTTACATGTAGAGTGAGATATTCCTGAACTTGTCTTTTAATATACTCAGGTATAGGTCATTTCTGAAAGCCAATGAAAAGTCTGATGGAAGAAGTAATTCACTGGTCAGCTCCGACTTCTTACCTTACATTCATCACACCGCCGCCCCTGCACATTAGGTTTGCATTCACACTGTCCCGTCTGAGGATGGCAGACCTCAGAGAAAGAGCCGTTGGCATTACAGTGACAAGCTGCAAAGAGATGAGAGATCTGTGCTTAGGAAATGTATTCTAGTAGGCTTCATAGGTTTATTAAATAATGGCCACAAAGTTTTAGAATAGAATGCTTTCTGATTGCTAAGTGTTCAGTTAGGCATTATATCATCTGATCTTTACAACAACTCTATAAGCTGTAGAGATGAATTATGTAAAACAACAGCACAGTTCCTAGCACACCATATGTTGTAAAAATACTACTGTTGCCATTATTATTCCATTTGTAAGAATTAAGACACTGAACTTCAAAGTCGGACAAGACCACATGATTAGTTGGTGATCTAGCAGATTTCAGGTAAAATGTTCTTTCTGTCACTCCTTCAGCTGTTTTGCCTCTTCATAGATGCACTGGGGTAACACAGAAAATACTATAATCTCCATATAAGTAACACTGACTCTAGAGCATACTGATTCTAGAGCTGAAATAATTTTCAGAAATTATCAAAATTAATAGCATCCATGGAATAATATTAATGCTACCATTAATGAAGCAACATTATTATTTCCAAATGATTATTTACTGTATGCCAGTTTTTGTGTTAATTTAAAAAAAATGAGCTTAAGATGAAATATAAAATAAATATATAAATCTGAAAAACATTTAAGATTAGAAAAGTATATAAGGCAGAAGAACTAAGTAGACATGTTTCCAAAGAGGACATCAAAGTGACAGACAGGCCATGAAAAGATGCTCAACATCACTAATCACTAGGGAATTATAAATCAAAACCACAGTGAGCTACCTACATCTGCTGAAATGGCTGCCATCAGGAAGACAAGAGACAGTGAGTGTTGGTGAGAATGTGGTGAAAAAGGGAGCCCTTATACACCACTGGTGGGAACGTAAATGGGTCCAACCACTATGGAAGACAATACAGATGTTCTTCAAAAAATTAAAAATAGAACTACTGTCCACATTCCAGCGATCTCATTTCAGGATATATACATAAAGGAAACGGAAACAGCATTTTGAACAGACACATGCACTTTCATGTTTATTGCAGCATTATTCACGATAGCCAAGATATGGAAACAACCTAAATGCTCATCAATAGATAAGTGGATAAAAAGATGTGGTGTATACATATCTGAAAAACATTTAAGATTAGAAAAGTATATAAGGCAGAAGAACTAAGTAGACATGTTTCCAAAGAGGACATCAAAGTGACAGACAGGCCATGAAAAGATGCTCAACATCACTAATCACTAGGGAATTGTAAAGCAAAACCACAGTGAGCTACCTACATCTGCTGAAATGGCTGCCATCAGGAAGACAAGAGACAGTGAGTGTTGGTGAGAATGTGGTGAAAAAGGGAGTCCTTATACACCACCGGTGGGAACGTAAATGGGTCCAACCATTATGGAAGACAATACAGATGTTCTTCAAAAAATTAAAAATAGAACTACTGTACACATTCCAGTGATCTCATTTCAGGATATATACATAAAGGAAATGGAAACAGCATTTTGAACAGACACATGCACTTTCATGTTTATTGCAGCATTATTCACGATAGCCAAGATATGGAAACAACCTAAATGCTCATCAATAGATAAGTGGATAAAAAGATGTGGTGTATACACAACAGAGGGATTCCCAGGTGGCTCAGTGGTAAAGAATCCACCAGCCAATTCAGGAGACATAGGTACAATCCCTGAGTCAGGAAGATACCCTGGAGAAGGAAAAGGCAATCCACTTTAGTAGTCTAGCCTGGAAGAAATCTCATGGACAGAGGAGCCTGGCGGGCTATAGTTCAAAGAATCACAAGAGTCAGATGTGACCGAATGACAAAGCATGTGCATGCACACCCATGTGTGCATGTACACACACACACACACACACACACACACACAGAGGAATATTATTCAGCCATGAGAAAGGAGGCTATCCTGCTATTTGGATAAGCCTTGAGCATATTAGTCTAAGTGAGATAAGTCAGAAAGAGAAAGATAAGTATGACATGATATCACTTATATGTGGAACCTAAATAAGTCAAACTCATAAAAAACAGCATGAAATGATGGTTACCATTGGATGGGGGGTGGGTAGAGGGGTAAAATTGATGTTAGGGCTACAAACTTGCAACAAGTAGTAAATAAGATATAGTGATCTAATGCACAGCTATAATGAACATAGACAAAAATATTGTACTATAATTACGTAACAGGGTAAATATTGCTACAATGGCAACCACATTACAATGTATAAACTTATCAAAAAGGTTGTACACCTTAAATTTATAAAAACACATTGAATAAAATGTATATAAGACCAAGTTTTTTCAAAAGTATTAGCAGTCCAGCATTACAATTTTTAAAAATCATATTTGTTTTATAACTTATATACTATCTCCAACAATAGAAAATGTATTTGATTTCAGTAATCTTTTATCATTTTCTGTTATGGAGTTGTCTGACGTTATTCTGAAACATACAATAAATCAGTCTAAAAATTAAGAGGCTTTTTCACAAATAGAATGGCAATTAATGGTTCACTCTGTACTCTGCAAGTGTATTTTTATCAGTACATATAATTGCACTGATACCAGAATAAAAATGTGAGTGGGAGATGACACAGGCATATAGATTATTCATAGAGAGTTTTGGTAAATTTTGTACAATATTTCTTATCTCTGAATACTTCAATTTGAGTACAGTTTATAAATACATTATAAATAGCTACTCTATCAGCCTGTGCTATTTTTCTATTCCTCTGACTGGAGGTGCTACTTAGTTTTCCTGCTTTCTTAAAAATTGCTTGATTATTCTTCCAGTAGCTTGGCCTTCAATGTCTGCGAATCTGATTCTAGCTGGGTGGCCATTAAAAAACTGTCTCCAGCCAGTTATCTTCCTCAGGCAGTAGCCTAAGGATAGTCTATGGGCTTCCCTGGTGGCTCAGATGGTACAGAATTGGCCTGAAATGCAGGAGACCTTGGTTCAATCCCTGGGCTTGGAAGATCCCCTGGAGGAGGGCATGGCAACCCACTCCAGTATTCTTGCCTGGAGAATCCCCATGGGCAGAGGAGCCAGGCGGGCTACAGTCCACGGGGTCACGAAGAGTCGGACACGACTGGGTAACTGAGCGCAGTACAGTGTATAGCTGGCATGTGAGAAGAGCCTGAAGGATATGTTTTTTTTAAAGATCCATGTCATTTGACTACTAGAATTATTATACAAAGAAAGAAAGATGAAGTTGCTCAGGCATGTCCAACTGTGACTCCATGGACTGTAGCCCCCCCAGGCTCCTCTGCCCATGGGATTCTCCAGCAAGAACACTGGAGTGGGTTGCCATGCCCTCCTCCAGGGGATCTTCCCGACCCAGGGATCAAACTCCGGTCTCCTGTATTGCAGGCAGATTCTTTACTGTCTGAGCTACCAGGGTAATTCCAAGAATTATTATATATACTTCTAATTTCTTTACATGTTTCATATATATATATATAATTTTAAAAATCAAATACCTTATAATTTAAAAGTCACTTTTTTTATTAGAGTGGGAAACACTTAATGATTAAATTTACTATAAAGTCATTTTAAAAATAAAGCAATAAAGCCAGTGCTCTGGGACAACCTAGGGACATAGGGTGGGGAGGTTCAGGATGGGGGGTGACACATGCACACCTATGGCCAATTCATGCTGATGAATGGCAAAAATCACAATACTGTAAAGTAATTATCCTCCAATTAAAATAATTTAAAAAAATAAAGCAATGAAGAATTTTATTGCAATTTTAAAATAAAATGTATGACACAAACAATATATGTAAATTTAAAGGGCAAATTGGTAGAGGTATACTTTTTATGAACAGATGCAGAGGCAACTAAAATAATAGTTTATTATGAACAGTTTATTATTACAAAAAAGAAATTTTTGTAAAGGTTTGCTAACTATGCATAGAGGAGCTATTATTTCTATGAAAATTCATAAAATAGACAATAAATAAGTTTCTGATATTTTTATATGCTAAAGAGCATTAAAAACATAATCATGTCTATACTTCATGGCAAGTGATAAAAAAATTGGTGATGATTCAAAAATGGTTTTATACTATATTATTCTATATGTTCTTAAGACTTCATGCTGCAGATTCTGAATTCACCACAATAAAGAGTGGAACTGTCTCTTCAACTTTATAGAACGGGTTACTGGAAGATAGAAAATGAGGTCATTCAGTGAATAACACAGCTCTAGAATTGGTGAGCCATAAATATTCACAACTACTGTCAGCATCTCTACAAAGGAGCCAACAGGTGAGAATACCCCAGGCAGCTCACTAGACAGTTTCATGTGTTAGATCCTTTAATTTCCATAGAAACTTAGAGTGCTTTATGTAAATGAGGAAACTGAATCTCAGCGAGCTCAAATGTCTTGCGCAGAGTCACACTGGTAGAAAGTATAGATCCTAGATGATATGCTTGAATTGGAGACTTTCTTGAGCTCCTTATGATTTTACACAGATGCCACAAACCCAGTGTTTAAAGGTGCTTCTGAGCCTGTTGGAAATTTTGCTGAAAAAACTTGACAATTTACAGATGATATTAATAGCTGTTGACTATTCCAGAGAGTGGTTTGTTTTTGATTCAACAAATTGTCGTGTTTAAATGCCAAAATGGTGGCACTCATCTTCTAAACCTGTGAGGAGAAAGACACGTTTCTACTTGAAGTGGGGGACCCTAGCAGGTCATTGGTATTTATAGCAGAGATGCTCACAGGCACAACATTGCCAGTGGTTTCTGTAAAGCTGCAGGTCCTGGGACCCAACTGAATGGCTAGAAGGATCCCTTCTTATATAATGAAGTCAGCAGAAGTGAATTGTTAAGCTGGTATCATAACTCGCTCTTCCTGAGGATTATCACAGTACATGAAGTTGATTATGGCAGTGTCTGGCACTAAGCTGTTCTAACAAGGATGCTCCTTCCATTTGACTGTCCACAATGAGATCTCTCTTGCATGTTACCACTAATATTCTATGCAATACCAAAGAATATAGCTAAGAAATTCAAGACGAGGGTAGGAATGTGCTGACTAATATGAATAAAGTCCTACAATAGCTAATTTTGTGGAAGTAAAATACAGAAATGGCATTCTATGAGTAGTCTTAAGCTGATGGTTAATCATTCAACAATTACAAATGCTGGTGTGTAAGAATACTGGCAGAATATTTCACCTATTGTGAAACACAAGAATGTAAAGTTTACATATGAAAGCATAATAGATTAAAACCTACTGACAGATACTAATGAAATAATATGGGCAAATCAGTGTATGTCAAGAAAATGATTAGACTTGAGATAAACAATAAGGATAAATAGGGCCTAATTTTCAAATTCTTCTTTCCTGTCATAGACAAAAATTTACTTAAAAATCTTTATTCCATGTGTAGACAGAAATATGTGTATCATTTGAAAAACAATGATACTTCAACAACACAGCAACTTTGAGAGGATTTAATCTATTGGTACAAAGGAAATGTATTAGAATATTCAGACTCTTTGTATAGGCTGGATATCTATCTTACATGTATTACAGGTAATTTCCTACTCTCCAATCCCCACTCAAGAACTCATCAGCTACTCTGAGGTGCAATGCATCAATTCTGTCAGGGGCATCAATAGTTCACGACTTACGCTGACAGTTCTTTGCATTAACCGCATCTCCAAAATATCCATCAGCACAGAGCTCACAGTACCGGCCTGTTGTACCCGGCTTACATATCAGACAGGAGCCAGACAAGCTGTCACAGCTGCCAGGAATGGAGAAGTCAAGGTTGTCATTGCATTGGCATGGCTGACACGATCCTCCAGGTACAGAAGGTTGTCCAAAATAGCCTTCCGCACACCTAAGGCGAAAAATTTCATCAGTGAGTATTTGGGAGGAACCCATGAAACCCACTGGGGGCAATGCTTATGTATTTTTTTATTCTATTTCTCTCCCAGGATATGTTTTCCCTTTAAGTGCTCCTTTTCTCAAATGCAAGGTGATTAAAAGAATGCTTTCTCTGTTACTGCAGTGTAGATACAAGATGAAATCCTGCCAGTTTCACTAATAATTAGATTTCAGCCAGGGGAAAAAAAAAAAAACAACAAAACCTGTCACTGGCACCGAAGATGAGACCAAAGCATAATAAGAAATCTGCTGCTGGCGCTCCGGAGGGAGCCAGGCCCACGTTGGAGATCCTTTGTAGTACAACACATCATATGTATCTACTCCAATTGGTTGTTTTCTGTACAAATATGTAAGGTTCACATTTTTGTTGTTGTTGTTGAAGCAAGAGCTTGTTATGAGGAAACAGGCTCACAAGGAAGTACAGTAGTGAGAGTTCAGAATGTATTAAGTAGAAAATTGAAAGAGTCTCATTATTTGTATGGGGGCTGTGTCTCTGCATAGGCTTTTATATATTTGCATATCCATACAGAGGCAGATTTCCACTGAAGAGTTTTTACCAAGGAGAAGCAGGCATGCTGCATATCACGGTAAAATGCCACAATGTGAGGCTTAATTGTGCCCACATCTCCCATTAGCAGACTCTAGTTCTTTTTTTTTTTTAAGGACTAAATACTACTTTACATATTACTGGAAAAATAAAAATTCATATTATTTAGGAGGCATGGGAGAGATTGTTTTAAATTTTGTATCAGATTTCCCTTTAACCATGTGTTCTGTTTTAAAATGTTACTTAATGTGACAGATGCACCTTTTATGCGGCTGCTGCTGCTAAGTCACTTCAGTTTTGGGAGAGATTGTTTTAAATTTTGTATCAGATTTCCCTTTAACCATGTGTTCTGTTTTAAAATGTTACTTAATGTGACAGATGCACCTTTTATGCCGCTGCTGCTGCTAAGTCACTTCAGTTGTGTCTGACTCTGTGCGACCCCATAGACGGCAGCCCAACACCTTTTATAGGAAGCGCTTATTTGTAATCTACTCTGTCTTCTCTTTCAGTTACATTTGCTCATGCTGCATATTAAGCTTTACTTGCCAAAGGAGACATGAAACAATGCATCTGAACTTTTATGGTCAAGCTAGCTCTGTTATCTGTGCCGTCTTAGCAAAACAGAAAGTCCTTTATAGCGAGGGTCAAAATTGAAGGGGAATAAAAACAATGTGGGAGAATATATTTCAATAATACACTGTGTTTATGCTCACTTACTTACAGATATAAAAGTCACTGTGTAGAGAAAAATGCTCTCTACTCTCGAAACAGAAATGGTTTCATATAAGGACACTTTAATAATATGATTATGGGGGAAAGTTATTAATTTTGTAAGTAAGATACACTGATAATTCAAAGTTTTCTAGAAAATTTACAGGTGCCATAATAAGCTTGTAGAATTAAACATTTATCATAATTTTTAACAAAATTACTAGTTTTAACAAAATATTTTATAAATTGTGAAAGTCATGATATAAATATTGCTTGGAAGAATACTGCCACCTCCAAATACAATTGCTTATTAATTCTCTATTGTAAAATATGAACTAATATTTCAGTGCATAAAATCCACCCCCCCCCAATCCCTTAAGGAGTGGTATTCAGTAAAGAAGAAAATCCTTTTAAATTTTAACCCAATTCTTCTTGCCTTACTTGATATTCAGAGCTCATGATCACATCCACATATATTCACATCTCATTTTGTTTATCATTAAGAGAGTGACTTTGCTCCACTAGAATAGCAATATACAATGATCATTATCACAGACAACAAAACCCCATTATTTTCAGCTCACTTTTCTGACTTGCTGCCCTCAGGAGAGATGGCATTATATAACAAGATCTGGAAATTTTTTTAAACAGACACCAATTAATCAGACTGAAATTGTCCCACAACAATAATTTAAAAAACCAACTCAATCCACAAGAAAATAACTACAATTAAATAGAATCACTGAAGAAACATCAATCTTTGGCTGTAGGACATGTAAGGAGACTTACTGAATATACATTTTACATCATTTCATATGCCACTTCACTAAAAGTGAGCATTCAGATTTTATTACACACATGTGTGTGTGCATTTTTATATAGAGAATAGTATTCTTCAGAGATTTACAGAAATGCTTCAATAGAAATTAAAAAGTAGAGTCAGGGTCTTAGCATTTAGCTCACTTTTTTTTTTCCCTCCATGTTCTTTTTAATTCCTCTTAATGCTCTGACAGTCATCCTTTCTTGACAGTCAAAACACTGTCTCCTTGATTTTCTGTATTTTCTCCTCTTGTCCAGACAATAAAAGCCTAGAATCTCAGCAAAGTGCCATGATGAATGCCCAGTTCCTTCACCCCTGGTTCTCTTCTTCTACTTTTGTTTGAAACATTCCCTAGTCAGAGGAAGGCAGTAATCTCTCAAAGCACGAGTGCTCTGGCCCCAAGCAGAAGTTTCTGCAAACTAACTAGTGCCTTACATGTGACAGACCATCGGTTCACATTTTGTCATGTTTTGTTTTGCCATGCTCTTGGTCTCGATTTTTCTCCATTCCCTCAATTCAAGCAGCAAGGCTGCCTGGGCTGCATGAGCAAGTAAAGGGATCTGACGGAAAGGAAAGCAGAAATACCGGAACCTTCTGGACTTTGGCTTTAAAAATCACCATTTCTATGAATGTGGCAACTCTTTCTGCAGTGCACACCCAAACAGGAAAGGGATGGAGCTAGAAAGGCAAATGGAGGAGAAATGATGAGAGCAGAAATGTTGGTGGGTCCCAGGTAGAAAGTAAACAGCAGTATGTGTCCTGTGATCCCACAAGTGACAGGAAAGTAGTGGAGAGAGTTATTGGATCTGGGGGAAGAGGTGATCAGGTGGACAGTAAACAGAAAGAGGTCAGCAGAAATGCGCTTAGATGAATTACTCAGGACAGACTGACTCCACTATGTGTCCATTGCCCAAAAGCCAGCCCCCGCACCCCCCCACACACACTCAAGCATTCAAGCCTCTTGGTACTAAGTAAGCTTGTTAGACTTTGGTTCTAACCAAATCTAGAGGTGGAAAGTAGGACAGAAGAGAAAAAAAAGTTAAAACAAATTTCTGAAATTTGAACATAAGTGACATATAACATTGGGTTTAAATTTAAAGGATACTTGACTAAGATTATATGTCCAAGCTCTCAAAGCTCTTACATATAAAGAATTTGATCTCAAAGTAGAAATTAAACTGAGATAAAAATATAAAGTTATAATTTCCATCTATCTGAGCTATAGTCTGAGATGCATTCTAGCTATATAATAAAACTAGGGGATTTATGGTCACCTAAGATTAGAAAATGCTGAGTTAAACAAACTGAAGAGATGTTTTTTCACTCTAGGACTGGTCAGAACTTTTGACAAGTTAATAGATGCTTCCCAGGCTTCCATGATCATAGAACTCTATTCCAAGAACATCTATAGCTTGTGAAACACAGTTTTTCAACGCTGATTTCGTGTAAATGATGTGCATAACTGATTACTCTAATCACTCCCAGAATAGTTTTGATTACAAAATTTTCAGTGCAACTCACATCTCTTTCGTTCCCTGACCCTTATTCTCTCTCACATCTACTTCAGCCGGCACATCTGTCAAAATGTTTCTAATATTTTGGATCCCCCAGTGGCTCAGCGGTAAAAAGAATCCACCTGTCAATACAGGACACACAGGTTTGATCCCTAAGTCCCCTGGGTCAGGAAGATCCCCTGGAGTAGGATTTGGCAACACACTCTAGTATTCTTGCCAGAAAAATCCCATGGACAGAGGAGCCTGGTGGGCTACAGTCCATGGGTCACAAAGAGTCGGACACGATTGAGCACGCAATGCACACAAATGTACTTTTTGGCTCATACAGAGAAATGATAGACTAAATATTCCTGGGAAGCCCTAATCCAAATTTTGGCTAGAAAAATATAACATCACATATTTCATATAATAATAGTTTAAGATTATATTTGAAGCACTTGAGTTAGAGGCAAGATATGTTATATGATAAGCAGCCTAGGCATGTTTCTACCTTCTTTTGAATCAAATTAATAGACTTTAAAAAGGAAATAATCCTTTCTTTCAAGCATCGCTTTCCTAGGTGAATTTTACTATTCAGACTAGAATGTTCTCCCGAACACATTCAACTATTCTCACTCACACTAAAAATGTGAGCTGCTTGAGCGCAAGGATGATAGGATACATCGGCTTATAGCCTATGTTTAGTTTAGCCCTGTGCTCAGCACGTAATAGCTGATAAACAAATGTTTATTAAATAAAATGTAGGAGTTTAAGTTGTAGGTGGCTCAGAAACCAGTGTCTAATGTGTAGAAAATACATATTATGGAGCAGAGCAGTACAAATACATCAGAGACTAAGCTCACCTAGATTAGTGGATCAAATGGCCTAGTATGACAGCAGGGCTGTCATTTTCCAGCTGCTAAAAAAAGAAGAAGAAGAAGGTTGCCCATAGTGAGCCAGAGGGGTCAGGCACTGGACGTAGACCTGTCCAGGCAAGGTACGCTCTATCACAGTAAGTAACATGCACGTCCCCTCCTTTTAAAAAAATAAGCACAATCAAAGACTTCCAGTTTCTTGATTAGAATTGAATCCTTTTTACTTCAGCCCTGTTCCTCTATTATGATTTACAAATGCTGCCATACTCATAAACAGGACTTGCTGCTGCTCAGAGCTGTCATTGGGACCTTGTCCACAGACTGCTAGCTGCTGGCTAAATTCTCTTTGGGTGATTGGCCCTTGCTTCATTAACTTTATGCAGTCTGGTTGAAACAGGCCTGCTGGCTGCCAAGAGGACAGGAAAGGACAGGCAGGAACAGCCTTCTCTGGCGTTCACAGTGGTGATGCTGGGTGAAAGCCGGTCATTTCCTCTGCCCCCCGCTACTCCCACCCGGGCCTACTCTCTAGTAACGGGAGCAGGAGGAGCTGTTTTCAATGCTACAATCAGAGAGTTGTGTTGGTCAACGATATCATGGGAGAACTTTGTTCCATTTTCAGTGAGCCTGAAATACGGAAGAATCTTTTCCTCGGAAAGATTTTAGGAGAAAAAATAATCACACAAGTTACATAAAATAATATCCTGGCTCCAATGCAAAACAACCAAGTAAAATCAACAGGAATTAAAATACTGACTTAGAAACAATTAGATGGGCATATAAATCATGATAATAAATTACATTTGGTTTCAATTTTCAAATATATTTAAGGTGAATTATGGACCACTTGCTGAACTATGAACTACACACTTAAGCTACATTTTAAGGACAAAAAGCTAATTATGAAAAACAAATGTTGCCAATGTAGACAGCAAGATAAATCTTAAAGTGCATGACTTTCCACTTGAGCAATACTTTCTAGAAAGATTGCAGGTTAATGCTTAACCTTTAAGATTAAAACATTAATCAAACATTCTCTGAGTGAATGGAGATTTATGGAGCAATTTCTAGAGAATAAATAAACTATAAGAATATAATGCATTTGTTTGACAAGTGTGGTAAGAAACTTTACTTCAACTCACCAAGTATGGTGGCTTTTCTGGGGCAGTGCAAAAGATGATGATGCCTGTAGTTTTATAACTCCCAAGGTGGAAATCACAGTGACAGACAGTTGAGTATCTGCTTACCTCTCACAGCGCTGTCCTGAGTACCCAACAGGGCATTCATCACAGATCAAGCCAAGACTCTGGTCCAAATGGCATATCGGGCTAAAGCTATGTTGTTGTCATTGGAGAACAACAGGGACAAGGAAGAAACACAAATACAAAATCATTAGTAGAATATTTTCATTTCTCTTCTTTCATTATTGCTGTGACAAAAGGGTACAGGGTAGTCATTCTCATCTCACAGATGGCGATTAGGGTCTGGGAAGTCAAGGATGAAATGATACGCCTATTTCTGCAGATGTGAATACAGTCCAGTGGAAAAGTGTCCCTGTAACATGTTAGTAATTNTCCTTTTCCTATTTGGAACCAGTCTGTTGTTCCATGTCCAGTTCTAACTGTTGCTTCCTGACCTGCATACAGATTTCTCAAGAGGCAGGTCAGGTTGTCTGGTATTCCCATCTTTTTCAGAATTTTCCAGTTATTGTGATCCACATAATCACATTATGGTAAGCGTTATAGGAAGGTAATTATTAATTTAAAAGCAATCATACTGATGCCTAAAGAAGTTAAAGAAATTCATCCCGTGATAAAACAATTCAAAGAAGACAGACCAAATTTTAAACTCAGATCTTCCAAACTGTTTTTTTCACAGATTACTTTTCCCTTTATTCTAAGATCTGTTTCTTCTGTTTTGAACTCCAGAGTACTTTTTTCACTTGACATATTCAGTCTTGGAGATAATTTTTTTTTAATTGAAGTATAGTTGTTTTACAATATTATAAATTAGTTTCAGATGAACAGCAAAGTGACTCTGTTTTATATATATAATTTCAGATTATTTTCCATTATAGATTATTTCAGGATATCAATTATTGTTCCCTGTGTTATACAATAAATCCCTGTTGCTTATCTATTTTATATAAGTAGCTTGTATCTGTTAATTGCGTAATGCTCCTAATTTATCTCTACTCTGTTTTCCCTTTTGGTAACCATAAGTTTGTGTTCCATGTCTGCAAGTCTGTTTCTATTTTGAACATAGATTCATTTGTATTACATTTTAGATTCCACATAAAAATGGTATCATATAGCATTTGTCTCTCTGTCTGACTTACTTCATTTAGTATAATATTCTCTAGGTCCATCCATTTGCTGCAAATTCCAATACTTCATTCTTTTCTATGGCTGTATAATAATCCATCATCCCTAGAGTAGAAAATGGCATCCCACTCCAGTATTCTTGCTGGAAAGTTCTGTAGGACAGAAGAGTCTGGTGGGCTACATTCCATGGGCTCTCAGAGTTGGACACAACTGAGTGATTGAGCATGCATGCAATAGTCTATTATGTGGGCTTCTCAGGTGGTTCGGTGATGAAGAAACTGCCTTCCAGTGCAGGAGACATGGGTTCCATGTCCATGGATTGAGAAAGTCCCTTGGAGTAGGAAATGGTAACCCACTCCAACATTCTTGTCTGAACCATTCCATGGACAGAGGAGGCTGGTGGACTGCAGTCCCTGGAGTTGCAGCGGCAGACACAGCTGAGTGACTGAACCTGCACACAAGTAACTCATTATGGCGGCTCAATGGTGAAGCACCTGCCTGCAGTGCAGAAGACCTGGGTTTGATCCCTGGGTGGGGAAGATCCCCCTGGAGAAGGGAACGGCAACCCACTCCAGTGTTCTTACCTGGAGAATCCCATGGAGAGAGGGGCCTGGTGGGCTGCAGTCCATGGAGTCACAGAGAGTTGGACACGGCTGTGCAACTAACACTTTCACCTTCACACACACACACACACACACACACACACACATGTATATGTGTGTGTATATACCACATCTTTTTAAGCCAGTTATCTGTTGTTAGGTATTTAGGTTGTTTCTGTGTCTTAGCTATTGTAATTACAGCTGCTATGAGCATTGGAGGGCAAGCTTCTTTTCAAATTAGAATTTTTATCTTTTCCAGATATATGCTCAGGAGTGGGATTTCTGGATCATAGTGAGTGAAGTGAAGTTGCTCAGTCATGTCCGACTCTTTGCGACCCCATGGACTGTAGCCTACCAGGCTCCTCTGACCATGGGATTCTCCAGGCAAGAATACTGGAGTGGGTTGCCATTTCCTTCTCCAGGGGATCTCCCCCCAACCCAGGGATCGAACCCAGATCTCCCACATTGGAGGCAGACGCTTTAACCTCTGAGCCACCAGGGAAGCCCTACAGTAGCTCTATTTTTAGTTTTTTAAGGAAGATCATATTGTTTTCCATAGAGTCACCTTATATCTTTTAATTGGAGTTGTTGTTCAGTAGTTAAGTCATTTCTGACTCTTTGTGACCACGTGGACTGCAGTATGCCAGGCCTACCTGTTCTTCACCATCTCCTGGAGCTTTCTCTAACTCATGCCCACTGAGTCAGCGATGCCATCTGACCAGCTTATCCTCTATGGTCCCCTTCTCATCCTGCCTTCAGTCTTAAGTCCATCTACTTTTAAATTATTTGTTGATTGTTGTTGTTTAGTTACTAAGTTGTGTCCTACTCTTTTTTTGCAACCCATGGACAATAGCCCACCAGGCTCCTCTGTCCAAGGGATTTCCCAGGCAAGAATACTGGAGGGGGTTGCCATTTCCTTCTCCTGGGGATCTTCCTGACCCAGGGATGGAACCTGCATCTTCTGCATTGGCAGGTGGGTTCTTTACCACTGAGCCACCAGGGAAAGCCCCCTTTAATATGTTAGTGAGATCCCCTGGAGAAGGAAATGACAACCCACTCCAGTATTCTTGCCTGGGAAATCCCATAGACAGGAGCTTGATGGGCTACAGTCAATGAGGTAACAAAGATTCGGACATGACCAAGTGACTAACACTTTCACTTTCTTCCATGTACTTATTGCCATTTTGTTTATTATTTTCTGATTGCTTTTGTGGATCTTCTCTTTCCTTTTCTTCTTCTCTTGTTCTCTTGCTTTGTGATTTGATAACTATCTTTAGCATTATGTTTGGAGTCCCTTTATTTTGTATGTATATATTATACAGTTTTGCTTTATAGTTACTATAAAGTTTATATGTAACAACCAAGGACTGTAGGTGTTTATTCTAAGTTGGTTATCTCTTAGTTTTGAACACATTCCTTACATTTTCCTATCACCCCACACAGTTTATATTTTGACATAACATTTTACATCTTTTTATTTCATGTATGCCTTAACTACTTATTGTAGATACAGGTGACTTTATTACTTTGTCTTTTAACCTTGCTACTAGCTTTATATGTGCTTGATCCACTACTTTTATGATACGTTTGCATTTACCAGTGAGATTTTGCTTTCATAATTTTCTTATTTAAAACTTTGAAAATGAAAGTGAAAATGTTAGTCACTAAGTCATGTCCAACTGTTTGCAACCCCATGAACTATAACTGCCAGGATCCTCTGTCCATAGAATTCTCCAGCCTAGAATACTGGAGTGGGTTGCAATTTTCTTCCTTTCTTTTTTGCCATTCCCTGCAAGCCTGTCAAATTTCTACTGAAAAGTCAGTTGATAGCCTTATGAGGGCTTCCCAGGTTGCGTTAGTGGTAAAGAACCCGCCTGACCACACAGGATACATAAGAGACATGGGCTTGATCCCTTGGTTGGGAAGATCCCCTGGAGGAGGGCATGGCAACCCACTTCAGTATTCTTGCCTGGAGAATCCCAAGGACAGAGGAGCCTGGCGGGCTACAGTCCATCGGGTTGCAAAGAGTCATACACGACTGAAGCGACATAGCACAGTACAGTACAGCCTTATGAGATTCTTTGTACATAGCTAGCTGTTTTACCCTTGCTGTTGTAAAGATTCTCTCTTTATCTTCATTTTTTTTTCATTTTAATTATGTGCCTTTTTATGAACCTCTTTGGGTTGCTCTTATTTGGGACTCTGTGCTCCCTGAATTTTATTAACTTTGAACAAACTCCAATTTCCAATTTCTTTTTGGTTGGTATATCTTTCTTTTTCTCCAAATATGAACTATTAAAGTGATACTTAAGTAATTCCATTAGATAAGATTAACATTATATGTGCTTGATTCCATTAGATAAGATTAAGCATGATTTAAGTATGGAGAAATATGCCACTCAAATTGTTTTCCATGTGTTGTTTAGATTCACCATAGTAGAATGCACCACCTTAATTGTTTTTTTTTTTCATGTTCCAGTCATTTATTCATCAAATATTTATCAAGAGCCCAGCACTGTTCTTGGTGCTTCCAGCTAAATCCCCTCAGTACAGAGGATTGCAATTCGGGGTTGTTCAGGTTTTGCAAAAACAGGTTTTTCAGGTTCCTGTTTCTCTTCCCCCACCCCAAAACACTTTTATTTTACTCTGAATAAAATAGTATCAACAGTCAATAAAGATAAACTTTTATTCATTATAAGGGTCTTTTGGGGCAAAATTACAAAATTTATAGAGTACTATTAAAACTAAGACTTTTCAGGATGTATATTATTACCTAATTATGCATCTTGCAATAATAAGTGATTTTACACACTCTGATTCTAGACCTTTTGAATAGTTTTTAGGACATTAATGCATTTATTAAAATTAATTTCCAATTTTAATTCTGAACATATTGTGTAGCACTTTGACCTTCATGACAGCTGTTTCCTTGCAAGCAGTCAGATGGTATCATTAATACCATGAAATTTTGCATTGACATTTCTTTGCGTCTTTCCTCAAGGAATAAGAGTGCTTCTGGGCTGAGTCCTCAAGAGAAATCCAGTATGTGAAGGGTGCTGGAGGAGTGGTGAGTGGCTGTGTTTCTTACCTGTGATATACAAATTCTCACAGGCTCAATTCAGAAAGGGAGAGTCTTTTGAACAAACATATAAATGATTCACCATCAACTCTATTCTGTATTCAGTTCTAGCTGCTATAAAACTATTTTCTTTTGTAGAGCAACCTGAAATTCATCAGAGACAACCAAGGCCAGCACTAAAAGAATCAGTACTCCTCAGGCACTCACGCCCCTGCCCTCCCCAGCACCTCCCGTGTGCCCAGGCAGCCTTTCTCACAAGCAGAGTAGCCTGTGAGCCATGTGCTGACATGCATATGTGAGGGCAAACGTTGCCCAGTGGAATCAGAGAA